CCATACAGTGGTAAGTCAGCATTAACAGAGAACAGGGAGGAGATAAAGCTTTTTGTTTACAATGAATTTTAATTACACACCTAGGTTAGACAGCATGTTGCCATGAAATCAAATTTAGATAGTAGTGAGACCATTTTTCACAATCACATTCACTCACCCTCTCGTTGGCCACACAGATGATTCGAGCATAACAGCAGGTCATGAGGATAATCAGGCTAAACAGAGGAATGTACCATCTGCAAATAAAGAATACTTTACATCTCAAACAAGAAAATACACAAACAGAGGTCTCAAAAAGTATTTGGACACATGATAGTGTTAACTTGATAGTGTGCCTGTACTATCCTTCTGTAAAATAAGGTTACACTTTATTTTAAGATGACCTTGCTACAGTGTAATTATACATTTAAGTAATGAGTAATATTAGTTAAGTTATATGGTTAGGATTGGGTTTGGTTTAGGGTTACTTGCATGTAATTATGCATAACTAATTGTAATTATTATAATAGTAAGTACATGTAACGTGTAACAAAGACACCTTAAAATAAAGTGTTACCTAAAAATAAATACCTAGGGATGCAACAATATTAAAACTCTGATAACTGACAACAATTATTTTCATTTTAAAGCCACTAACTGATAAAAGGTCAATATTCTAATATATAATTTAAAGTATTAATCATTATCTTATATCATATTTGTAATAATTAAAAATGATAGAGTATGAAAAACTGATTCATTTAACTCTGTTAATCAGTTTTTAAAGATTACTTTGACGTGATTGTTGAATGACGGCAAAGAGAATCTAAATGTAAAAATACAATTAAATATTCAATATCGACTGATACTGATCAATTAAATATTGCCCGATAACCGATACAGTAAAGATATCTTGTGCATTCATTTAAATATTATACAGCATTCATGCATTTCAGGTGTCCAAATATACTTGTTGCCAGTGTGAACAATCCTTAACACAGCATAACTGGACATAATTAAAGGTGAAAAACATTGTTAAAAACTCCAGCATGCACAATAACCTGTCAGAATGGGAACAGAAATTCCTGAAATTCAAATAGCATGAGCTACGTGAGCCTCTGAAAAATGATGCAACTCATAACATAGTTTCATTCGTCCAACACAAATTCATTCCTAGCAACAACATGCATTTCCTCAAACACTCACACGCATGCTGAACAATACAAACTTACATGCCAAACCTCCACCCGACATGATTATCTGTGATCCAACTGCAGGAAAACAATGAGACAGAAAGGACTGATGATGACTGTAGTGATATGAATGCAATTAAGAATATATCAAAAGTCAAAGGCCACTCACCACCAGGCTCCAGCGGGGCCGTAGTATCCAGCCATCAGGGGGAGGGTGGACATGAGCAGAGGAACCCCCCCATGCCACCAAATGATACGGTCTGAGAAACACATGCAGATGTTAGGAACACTCTATCTGTATGTATACACAACTAAATGTGTTTATTTGTGTGTGTGTGTGTGTGTGTGTGTGTAGTGACTCACATTTCATAAGGTTCAGTTCTGATTTCTCTCACCAGGTTCAGGTACAGATTAAATGTAATAAGACAAACCCACATCAGCGCGGTCCAGTCTGAAACAAACAACGAAAACTATAATATCTATTGCAACAGCAGTTTACTATGACACAGTGTCAATACAGAATGTCGTCTTTCTATTTTGAAGCACTAAAGTTACTTCCTTTCCACTTAAATGACTTTATTCAGAAATATCATCATAGTGCATGTGTTTTTTGTGTTGTGAATTTGATGCATTCAGATGTCTTCTGCTAGTTATATCAAAGCCAAAAATAAATCCTCTTACTATCCCATCTCAGAACTGATTATCTGTTACTTTACATATACACAACAGTGCACATATGAACACACATCTTTAAATCAGTTGCCAAATTTACCAAAATATGTGAGCCACCAGGCTTGAAAATTACACAGAGACCCCTCTGCATGAGACTCTCCCTGTAGATGAGAAGAAAGCAACAGGTGCGAATCGTGCGATGAAATCAAGTTATTAAAAAGAGAAAAAAAAATTTCCCTTTCAATAACATACATTAGCTTGATAATTACTCTCCAAACATGTCTCTCTCTCTCACACAAAGAAATCAGTGCAACTCACCATAACATAAGCAACACTGTCAAAAGCTGCAGCTACTGTCAGACTGAATATCATTTTCTGAAGGACAAAGGAAAAAATACATACACATATGAAATACAGATAAAAAAGTTTCAATATTACTCCAAATAATTCACAATAATCAGCAATATGACGGAATATGAAAATTACTGGTTAGAATAACATAAATTACACTACTAGTTTGGGGTCTACAACATTTTTGCTAATATTATGTTCACCAAGGCAGCATTTATTTTATCGATAATACAGTAAGAACAGTAATGTAGTGAAATATTATTGCAATTGAAAATAACTGTTTTCTGTTTGAATATATTTTAAAA